AAATTTTCACCGTTGATGGGATTTGAACACCCAACCTACCACTTGGAGGGTTGACAACCTGACCACTTCACTAGGTCGTCACACCCCAATTAAAATAATTAATAAAAATCTAAGAAAGTATAATAACTTAGTAAAATAGATAAGTTGTCAACCTACCAAGTAGTAGGTTATAAATTCAAAACCTATAGACAATAAAAATTTAGATAATCACCTATGTAATACATAAATAATATTATAATAATAGTATTCTGTCAATTAGTTAAGATAAGATACTTATAACTATGATTGCATCAGTATAACTGACAGGTTATAAACCATTTGTGTAATCTTAGTTATACAAAAAAATACAAACTAGTAATGGACAGTACAAATCTAAAATAAGTTTTTATAACTGTATAAATTTGTAGAACTAGAAAACCAGAACTCTCCTAAAAATACAAGTAGAAAGATAGCACAAATTTTCAATGATATTATTATAAATACTAGACCTAGAAAATAGATAATAATATAAAGGAATTAGCAGATAAAGATCTTGAATGAGTGTATTATTAATCAGGTCACTAGATATTGAACTAGATAAAAAAGATATTGAGTTAGTCTTAATATACCAACAACAGGTCATAGTCCTTTCAGACTATCTGGATTAGAAGTCTAAAGACAAAAATAAAAATATACTAAAAATATTAGAAATATGCTATAAAATCAATACTAGAGTCTAGATGAACTTTGCAAAAGTAACTCTTTTTAATATTCTATAAAGTAAGTAAGTAATTAACAAGTAAAATCTTTTGTACCTTACTGGCAGATATTATATTTTAAAATGTATAATAGTTTAAAAACTAGTACAAAAAGTATAAGTACCATACTATTCAGATAGTATATTAATTAGGTATATACAGAAGGTTAGTTAGTATTACATTATAACAAAGCAAATAATCAAAAAGTTTAAATAGATAATCTTCTAGTAGGTTATAGGTATGATATCTAGTATAGAACCTTAAGATGAACTATAACTAAAAATTGCATGTGTAACTAATTGTACTCTCATCTCTGTATAAAATAGTAGTAATAACTAACCCAATAAAAAGTCAATAAAGTTTCACCACAAAATATGGTCTTTAACACAAAAAATAAAAAAAAATAAAAAAATAAAAATTTAAGCAAAACCTCACCTTAATATTAAAAAACATATATATATTTCATAAGCAAATATATTTTATATTATTAATAAATTATTTTATTTAAAAAACATTAAATATAATTTAATTTTCCAAGCAAATTTGTTTAAACTATGGTTTAAGAAATAGTAATTTAAAATTTATTATATAAAACAAAATATCTTATTTTGCCTTATACAATTAAACTTTATACTATACATAAAAATAACTTAATAAAGCTTATTGCAAATAATAAAAATAGTTTAATTTATAATAATGTTGAAATTGTTGAAATTAAAAAAATTGTTGAAATTAAAAAAATTAAAAATGAATTTCACCCCAATTATAGATATAGAATTCTTAATAGAATTTCTTTTTGGGAAGCGAAAATATAATAATAAGAATATGTGATTAATACAGAACGTGATACGTAAAATTACGACGCGTAACATATACGTACGTACGTACGACGTACTAAAAAATACAAAACAGATCTACATTTTACATTGTTTTTTATCTATAAAAACTAGTTCTAAAGTTCTTAGATCGTATAGTGATCTTTATTATTTTACAAAAATGAGCCAACTTTCGAGATCCTCAGCATTTAACAAACTTTCTATTCCCACTATATCGTCATTATCAACAAGTTATTCTCCTCTTATCACATTACCACCTGAAATCTTTTTAAACATTTGTAGACATCTTCCACCATTTGATTTGTTTTCACTTTCAAGGGTTTGTCGACTCTTTTATCATGATCTGTGTCTTGGCGAATCAGTAACTATCCAAGAGATTTGGCGTCAGTCACGGCTTGTTTTCATGCCTTATCGACAAATGGGTCCACCAGAAGGGATGAATGAAAAAGAATATGTTAGATTCTTGGTGGAAGATAAATGTTATTTTTGCGGAAGAAGAAATAAGAACAGTAGGATTTATTGGGAACGTGGAGTTCGATCTTGTTTTGAATGTTTAAAAACCCGCACTAAAACGTAAGTTTACATTTAAAGTTTACATTTAAATTTTTTTTTTTTTTAGTAACTAATAATATGTATGATTAGTCAAGAAGAATTAATCGAATCGAAAATCGTTCCACCGGCGGTTTTGCATTTGTTACCCTGCTCCTACACGCGCTCTATTCCCATCTTCTGGTTAGATCAGATAATGCCGAAACATGAAGAATTCAAACGTCTTACTTCGCAAGAATGCCTAGCTTGGATGGAAAAGCAGCGCAGTATTACTGAACAAATTGAAAAAGAAATGGATTTGCGTTTCTTTGAAGATGTGGCCGCCAAAAAAGTACAAAAAACAGAACGCAAACACGCAATTGACGCGAAAATTAACGAATTATGTCTGGAAATGAATGAAAATGGAACTCGCAAGTATTTGCGAAAATATCTTGATCAGTGCTATTCTTTAAAAAATTCGTATAGGTACATTAGACCATTCACTGAAAAAGCATGGCAGTTATTGAGACGAAAGGTGACAAGAGAGTATTCAAAGTTAGTGGAGCAAGAAAAAGAAAATATGACAAGTAAAGATGGTAAAGTTAGTTTAGGTTTGGTTTAGGTTCTAAACCTTCAGATTCCAAATTATAACCTAAGAGTCGGATTTTTATAATAAGTTTCAAACCTAAAATCTGATTCGGTCAGAATCAAATTTAAACTTTGTCCTCAATATTTTGTAAGACATAAAAATAAAAAATATATTAATAAAAAGTTACTTAATTCATATCAAACGTTTAGAATACATAGATTTTGATCTTTGCTAATATTTGATTTATTTAATAAAACTTTAACTTATAAGGTAATATGGCGAGATAGTAAAGTGGCAAATCATGTTATGACGAAGTTAATATGAGTAAAGTTGCTGGTGAAATTAAACCACTATCAAATAGTCTAATGATTTTTATACTATTCAATTTGTCTTACCAAAAAAAATATAATAAATAATAAAATTTTTTCGATCACGTGAAACTATCCAATAACAAATCACACCTTGGTGTAACGTAAAACGTTCGTTTTCAAAAATCCTCTTATAACTCAAAAATTTGCTTAATATCCCGCCTTTCATGTTCTAACAAAAAAAATTCCTCGGGCAATTTTATTATATACTAGCTTTTTTCTAATTTTAAATCCAACTCAAACTCTAACATAAAAGAACTCTAAAGAAATTTGTCGCGTCACGTGATCGAAAGAATTTTGGGATTACAACCTCTGTAGCTTACAAATATTTTTTCGACACGTGATTTTTAGCCAATTAAATCAAAGAATTAGATGTAAAGTAAAACCATGTTTTTTAAAAACTTAAAATTTTATTTATAAAACTGTTTTTGTGTTTTAATAAAAAATTTTTTTGAAATCTTTTTATTTGATTTAATTTTGATTTTACACTATAACGGTTACCAAATATGTTTTATGATCTGTGATTTAATACTATTAATCACGTTTATCTTTTTTTTATTACTTAAATTTAACTGTTAGTACTACTATTTTATTTCTTTAACTATTATTGAATGGTTAATAAATTAATTACTTAAATACATATTTACTTAATATATAAGGTTATATTATATAAAAGTTATTTTTGAGTAATGAAATTAATCATTTTTATATAACAATTTTATAAAAAATTTTTAAAGATTGTTTTTAAAAAAACAAATAAAGTTTATTAAAATTAATTTAAATTCAAAATATTTAATAAATACTATTAAAATTTATAATAAGATCCAATATTATATATAATTATTGATACAATTTATAGCAAAAAAAATAAACTTTACAAGTAATAGATATGCTAATAACTATGAATCAGCTTACCAGTTATCAATTAGTTTTTAATATTTTATAAACTTGTTAACTTAACAATATTATTAAATAATCAGTTTTTTAGGTTTCTTTGCTTTTAAAAAATATTTTTACTAATGCTTTAAATAGTTAAACATTTTGAATCACCTAATCATTATAATATTTAACTGTCTTATATAAGTATTGAACTAAAATCTTTACTAATTTAATGCAAATTTAATTTGCAAACATAAAAATTAAAAAAATTAAAAAATAAAAAAATAATAAAAATAAAAAATAAAAAAATAAATATAGTAATTATTAATTTTTTTTTTTTTAAAGCGGCAATCTTGCCTGTCTGTCTTTATTGGGTAATATATCATTATTTAAGTATATACAAAGTCTATCAACAAAAGTACAACTAGTCACATGTATAACTTTAGTCATTATCTAATTAAGGGTTCCACCCAAGGGTTACCCACTAGCTGTCATACCTGAGATCCGCCTGTGAATCCTCTATTTAAACCTTTTGATTTCAATCCTATTGCATATATGCAATGCTTTTATTACCACATGGACATGCCAAGTTAGAGCTATCTAATTACTATTTATATCAAGGTACCACCTCATTGGATGTTACCAGGTATCCATAGTCTCTCGAATTTACACTCGATACAGACTTACTAAGTATGGTACCAAGATTACCCCTTAGATTTATCCAATTTTAGTAGATCTCGTATCTACTTGAACTGGTTTGGTGCCAGAAGTGTTCAAATTTCGGTAAGTTCATTTCTTTTTCATAGTTTCTTTTTATATTTACCGTATCACCTACTAGTGCGCCTTCTCTCCATTTCTGGTATATTCACTGCTTCTCTCGCATCGAGCACCAACTCTCCATATCGGAAATCTTTTTTCCGAGAACTTCCTTATACATCGATCTTCTAATCATATGGACTTAGCTATAGAGCTTCATGTATATTCATATGCTTTCGTAGATTACAAAGTTGCCTTCAGTTGAGATTAAACTATCAACCTTGTCTGTGAAGGGAGGGGCGCCTAGACCACTAGGCTACGGGACCCCATCTCCTTAAATATAGTAATTATAATTTATCTCAATTAACTTGTATATACTTAATAACCAAATTCCAAATTAGTTTTAGCTAATGAACTAATTAATTAATTTTGATTTTAATTTGTATTACTAATTAATATTTATATTAAATTTGTTTATACTTAAATCTATTTTAGTTTTCTTATAATTATAATTTTAATTTTATAATAGATAATATAACAAATATATAGTTTTGTTAAAGTTTATAAAAAACAAATAATATTTTTTTGGCATTAAAGTGACCTTTTTGGTCTTTTGACTTTTATTAATAATTTTTTGGTAAGTGACTATATGTGTAACTTTTTTATATTACCTATTTAATGAGTCTGCCTAAAGGTTTTCTACCAATTGTTATATCTAACATCTTTGTTTAGATATTTATTTTAAACTTTCTAAATCTGCAATTAGTGTTAATACCACTGGATTATACCCAAATGCTTAAATTATTATCTTAATCTTAGAACTATTTTTCTTTGAGATAAACCTTTCAGAGTTTCTGTATTTATTTTTATAGCTAATCTAATATTGCTATGGCAAAACTAATACTTACAGTTAAAACTTAACTAGTAAACCATTGTATCTTTGTAAAGTTCATACAAATCTTAGCATCTACTTTATAGCATATCTGAAATACTTTAATATACTTCTGTCTTTTTACTAAACTTCTAATCCAAATAGCTTGTATAAAATTATGATTAGTTCATTAGTATATCAGATCAGTCTAATATCTTTTTTTTTGTTTGTTTTGGTAATTTTGATGGTAATATCTCTAAGATTCTTAATCTGAAGGTTCTTGTCTGTCTAGATATATGATTTTAATATCTATTTTATAAGATTAGCCTTTACAATAAAATTATTAAAAATCTGGTTATCTCTTTACTCAGATCTTTTTAAATAGATTTCTTGTTATTTAATTTTAATAGATTTATATAACTATAAGAACTTATTTAATATTTGCATTATTTGATTGTTAGTTTGTATTTCTCTATACAATGCTATACTTACACAGATGCCTTATGGCTTGTTAGTCATGTTAATATAATTGCAATTACAAGTATCTTAACTCAATCATTAGTAACAATTATTATAATATAAGTATTATATAGATAATTATCTAAATTTTTCTCTATTAATAGGATTTGAACATTCAACCTACTACTTGAGGTTGACAACTTAACTACTTTATTAAATTGCATATCTTTTAAACAATAGATATTTATTATTACTTTGAATTATATTAATATATTAAAAAAGATATAAAAAGCAAACTAATTTTTAAAAAATTTATAGATATTAATAATATTATTTTAAAATCAGATTAAGTTTTATTAACTAAATAATAATATTTAAATTAATTTATTAAAATCTGATCTTATTTAAATTATATATAATAAAAAAGCATTACAAAAAGTTACTTTAAATATTTTATTATTAAATATTAATAATTAACTAATTAGAAATAATACAGATCTTTAATAATATTACTATAAAGCCTAAATTTAGAAAACAGGTACCCATATAAAAAAATTAGACAAATAAGAATTTTTAAATAAAAAATATTATTAACTAGACTACTAGATTTGAATCAGATAAAAAGAATATTGTTCAGACTTAATGCTAGAAACAGGTTATAGTTCTTTTAAGCTATTTGAATTAGAAGTCTAAAAACAAAACAAAAATATACTAAAGTACTAGAAATATGCAGTAAAGTAAGTAATAGAGTACAAATAAATTCTACAAAAATAAGTTCTTATTAATTGTTTGTAAAATAGTTAGATAGTTAACAAAAAGGCTTTTAAGTTTTACTAACAGATGTTATGTTTTAAAATATATAACAGTCTGAATATTAGTTCAAAAAAAAAGTACTATATTGCTTAAACAGTATACTAATTAAGTATATACAAAAGATTTATAATAGTAATATTATAAAGTTTGAGTTCTATAGTTTAGCAGATAAGCTCTCAAACTCTTCACAAACAAGATCAACAGTTTGAGTCAAGCTAAAAGCAATTTTGACTCTGTAACCTATTGAAGCCATTAATCAAATATAAAGCCTTGTAGAAAAATTTAAATGCAGATACAAATTTAAATAAAAAGAAATTTCTGAAAGGAGACTCAATTATAGAATGCAGACACTATGTGTAATAAGCAGTTGTAACAGAAGGTCATAGTTATAAAAAAATTATGCATATAAGTTCTTTAGACTAGGGCAGCATCAACATTCTTATATCTACTAATATAGGCAGTATCAACATCTTTGCATCTAACTTGTAAAGTACTTACTTGAAAGAATAATTAATGAATTATGCAAATAAGTTCTAATTAGGATTTAAGAAGAGAATTTGATTAAAAAAATAGTCTGAAGTAATTAAGACTGAAATAATAAGAGAAGCAGTAAATATAAGAATAGCCTGTAGTAAAGGTTTGGTTTAACCAAAATTGGAAGCATCTTCAGTACAGCCAAATAGTCTAATTATAGAAAGAAAGATCTTAGAGGTTAGTGTATAACTTTCTTGTACAGTATAAAGAAACCAAATCAGGTTTTGATCATACTTATATAGAAGTTTATAATAAACAAGACTGAGATTA